ATTGAGAGGGGTTTTTGTTCAATGTTGGATTTTCGAGACGGTTTTTGCTGGCGGCAGAGGAGTTAAAAGTGTGTGTAGGGTTTTAGGGTTCTAAAGTTGGGATTTTTTTAAGGGTTATGTTTAGGGTTTTTGAAGATGGGAGAGAATTCTGATCTTGAAGAAGGAGAGATGAATTGTTCTTCTTCCAATGAAGATGTTCTTGATCTTGACGTTGATCTCTCTTACATTGTGAGTCTCTTGTTTTCATTCTCTGTGTGGTATTCTAATTACAATGTTGGTTTTCTGCTTATGGGTTAAATTGGTGGTTTTTTTAGGACAATGTGGTTAAGTTGCTTGATTTTGTCTACTTATATGTATATTCTGCAATGTTGACATTGAGTTTTGTTGCTCTGTATGATGAAGGAAAAGAAGGTACATAATGTACTTGGCCATTTGCAAAAAGATTTTGGAGAGGGAGCCATGGACCTGTGTGGTAAGGAATATCGAAAAATGGTTTTGACGAGAAAACATTTTTGGGAGATGAAAATGTAATTGATAGAGAATACGATTGGTCAGGTTCGAAGATTTGGGACTATGGATCATTTTTGCCCAGTTACAAACATTCGATGGCTGTACCGTTATTTCAAAGGATTCCCCTTGGGAATCATGCTGTACAAAGATTTTCAAACAATTTACCGGGGAAGGTATGACAAAAACAATTCTTTATTGGATGTGACGGTAAAAAGCTATACTTATTCATTGTCAAGGAAATAATGGTAGTGAAAATACCTCATTGTTTTTGTGTTTCCGTTATGGATTCTTTGAGGTTGGAAGTAATCTATGTATTGTTTGCTTCCTTAGTGTGATAGATAGCTTACTAATGTGTCCTAATGAATTATTGATTGTGCAGAGTGTGGTTCAGAAGATTCACTCACTGCCTACTACTTCTTCTAATTTAGTAAGTCAGCAGGATCCTCAGAACTATCAAACTTCTGGGTCCCTTTTGTCTCAAGCTCCTGAAAAGGTTCTCATTAAGAAAGAAAATGCAAGAATACCAGGCAATGATCTGTCTGATTCTAAGCCGATTAGGGTTCGGATCAAAATGGGTTCTGAAATCTTGTCCCGGAAGGTCACTATGGTTTGCAATGATCTTGGTCTCGCTGATTCTCCAACTTCACGAAACAGTCACGACGATAGTAGCAGAAAGCTGCCACATACATCTCTGGAGAAAACAAGCCAATCTCCTTCCCGCATTCTTCAGGTAGATCATATATCACATTCTTTTGTTAATTTTTTATCTTTTTTTGGTAGATAACTGGTTCGATTAAAATGTTAACTTCATGAAACAGGAAATGACTGCGATTCCTGTCCCAGAGGATCTACTGCTGTCGCCTCTTCCTGAGAGTCTGCTTCATTTGAAGGATAAGGAGACGCATCATACTTTATTTGACAATGAACCAGTGCTTAAGGCACGAAAAGAACCTTCTGTTCAGAAACAGAACAAGTTTTCGAATGTTTTAGGTTGTGGGGAAATTACTAATGGAAGGAGAAGGAAAGCGGTAGACTGCTTTGATGATACCACTTGGAATGAGACTTCGTCATCTGGTGAGATGAAGAAGCAAAAAGTTTTTTCCACTGGTCAACTAGCCAGGGAGAACTCAACTTGTGGTGTAGTTGGGACAAGTCCTACTAACGATGGGTTTACATCAAACAAAATGAAGGTTGTTGGGAAACAAGCTGAGAAGGAGAAAAAGACATATCCAACAAATTTGAAACAGAGCAGTAGCAAAAATTGCGTTGGTGATAAATTTTTAGCAAAGATGCCTTTCAAGGATGCTGCATATATTGGTCAAAATAACTTGGACATTGGGCCTGATTTTTCGGTTGCACTTTCTTCCATCAGTCCTGACCTTGATAATTGGGCCCAGTGTGATAGTTGTGAGACATGGCGGCTTCTGCCCTTTGGCCTGAACACTGAGCAGCTGCCTGATAAGTGGTTTTGTAGCATGCAAACCTGGCTGTAAGTATCGAATGCATCCTACATCGCTCATTCGCTATCTAATATATCTCCTATACAAGTACAGTTTATATCTTTTGTTCTTTTCTTAATTAAGCATTAGTCCTTTTTTGTCGCGTTTGAATCAAGTTTCATAGTTTTTTATAGGAGAAGCCTTTTGAACCTTGCAAAAGCCTTGTTCCATAGAACGACTGCGTTCAAACATTAAAAATATAAACTTGTATTGACTTGCTTTCTGGATTTGGTCCTTCAACCTTGTGCAGAGTCTTCTGGTTATCATTTTATTGTATCTCCTTATCATCCTCCCTGAATCTCTTGTAGGCCTGGAATGAACCACTGTGGAGTCAGCGAGGAAGAGACAATAAATGCTATCAAATCCTCTCATCGTACTGAGGCTCACGGTCCTGAAACTGGTGGTCAATTACTCTCTGCTGCTAGCAATGCTGATAAAAGCAACCAACCTTTAACTTCTCGGTCATTGCTGAATCCAATTGAAAAGAAGTCTAGCGTGAAAGCCTTGTCGCAAGTAGTTTCCAGCGATATCCTGGTTGATGCTGCAAAGCCTATGAGAAGTAACTCACATGTTTTTAAAATTAAAAACATTAAGCTGCCATTAGAAACGTCTAATCCTACTCAGATAGCCACAGTGTCACACAATATTCTTCAGGATAAGGTTGACCAGAAAGCAAAGTGGCGATCAGCAGGTCGGTCCTGCCCACTAGCTTGTGTATATTTGCAATGCACTTGGGATTATTTTTTCAAAATAACTTGTTATTATTGTAGGTACTGTTAGTCAGATAAAGATAAAGAAGAAAAAGGAGGGTGACAAACAAGAAAGTGAAGGTGACAAACAAATCAAGACTGGTGATGGCAACAAACTCTCCAGAGATATTAAACCGGAAGAAATACATTGGAAACAAGACCTGGAATGGACTCCGGAAGAGAGAAAAACAAAACGTCAGGACAACGATTCTTACTCTTCGGATGTAGAGCGAGACACAAAGAAAAGATTACTCGCATCTAAAAAGAAACCTGACCACAAATATCAACTGACAACTGGTAGTGGCTCCTTGTGTACAAATACTCATGGCAGAATCAATAGTCCTGTGAGAAAAATAAGGTTGATGGGTTACAAGAAGGCTAGCAATGGGAATAATTCAAAATTGTTTGCAGATGGTGAGGAAAAAGAGCCCTCAATGGACAAGGCGACAACAACTAAAGTTTCAGACCAAGAAATTAAAGCACACCAAAGAAATGAAATGTTTAAGGCTGATGGCCCTCGAGAACACCGGAATGCTGATACCTCATGCAGATACTTCTCTGGTGGAAGTGGGCAGATTTCTTGGGTAGAAACATCAAGCTCTTCGAAGGTTTTAGGATCACATAAAAGTGGAAGGTATGTGGAAGAGGTAAAAGCCTCCCCTATGGAATCAGTTTCCTCTTCCCCTGCAAGGTCTTCATGTCCGGAAAATCTTGCATCAGCGGGAGTGAGCATATCCTGGAAAATCCAAAACTTAAAACTTGGTGGAGCTGGGAGTAGAAATGTTAACAATAGAAAACATTTTGGTGCTATTACTCATGACACTATGGATAGATCCTGCCAGTCTGTGAATGATATACTTCAAGAGGCTGAGAAGCTGAGAAAACTTGCTGATTATTTGAAGGTCAGATTTTTATCCTACTTTTAATGTGGTCTGAAGATTTTCATCTGCTATAAATAAATGATCGAACCGAAATGGAACAGTAATTTGAATCACTGCTGTCTTTCTTCTGCTAGTTTTGTGTTGACTATTAATTTGAACGTCTTTCTATCCAAATGACCTCAGAGCTCTGGATTTGATTATGAACACAAGGAGACCAATTTTAAAGCGGCTCTGAAGTTTCTACGTGGAGCTTCACTTTTGGAACTGAGAAATACTGAAAATGTGGAAGGGGGGAAGATGAGCCATGTTGAAGCTTACCATATTGCTGCAAAACTTTCAAAGTAAATGCTTGTCCTGCTCATTTCCCATTTTCTTATAAGCGAGGAAACTTCTCAGGAATCCAGTATCTTTATGTGTTGGTCTCTGACAAAATGCTACATTTGGTTGATTCTCTTATGAATTTTGTTGCCATTGAACACTCTGTTTGTTTCTCACAGAAGCTGTGGCCATCAATATGAAACAAGCCAAGAAATGGCTGCAGCTGCTTTGGCCTATAAATGCACAGAGGTGGCTTGCATGAGGGTAGTGTATGGCAAAAGTCAAGGTCTGAGTGGAGAATGGAATGAATTGCAAAAAATTGTACAGATGACTCCTCTAGGTAATATCGGATTTTGCATTTATGCTCATCTCGTTGAGTGCTTTTTTCTGAAAGTTTTTCTTTTCAATGTTAGAGAAATCAGAATTGCAAAAAGTTTTTCTTTTGCTTGAGTCAAAAAATTTCAGAAGATGTTTACATAAAATCAAATATCATTTTGTGTAGGTCACTTAATTAAGATATTTATCTCAGCAGTAGTCAGCTTATTCATGTTATTTGGTATAGTATGTCCACCTTTTCATAGTTCAGAGCTTAATTAAGTTTCTTCAAGGCAAAATTTATATCTGAAGTTCTAGATGTTCCTCGATGTCTGGAGTCCGGACAAAAATTAGAGAGAAAATATGATTGTGATTTGTTTATACAGGCCTGTTACTTCCTGCTGTATGTTTCAGTAAAGTCATTTCCTGTTCATTTAATTGATTCTTCAGGTGAATCACCATCATCATCTGCATCAGATGTTGATAGTTTTAGTCATCAAGGGGTGATTGATATGTCTGCTAAAACTAAAAGAGGTCTTTCTCATATTGCTGGAAACCTTCTGCCTATTGCTCGACGCCAGCAAAATTTTGCTCCGCTATTGGACTTTGTAAGTTTATCCGACTCTCATCAATTATCGCCATGATGCTTTTGGAGTCTTTTAAAATGCGAGTCGAGTAGTGTCTCTTGCGTCTGCTGTTTGAGTTTTGAGAAAAATTAAACAGACCAGAAAAATACATTCCCCATATATCTTCGATGAGACACCTGATGCATGCATTTTTTCTTTTACGTGGTAATCAACTGAACAAATTCCTAGAGTTACATATGGGAATCTCTGAGAGAGACAGATGTGTGTGTAGTTGGAACATATCATTCTCTTTTCATTACATCCTTGTTTCGATACATATATGATTTCCAAATTGGAAAATAGAGTTGTGTAGACTGTGGACAACTAAGATCCTTCAATTTCCTAAGCTGTGCATGTTTTCATTATCTATCTTCTTGTGTCAAATAAAGCTGATATTTTATTTTCATCTGATACAGACAGAGAACATGAATCTGGCAATGGAAGCGTCTGCAAAATCTCAAAATGCTTTTAGAGCAGCCAGTGTTACCTCAGAAGAAACACAGGATGGAGATTGTGTCTCTGCTATCAAGAAAGTTGTCAATTTTAGTTTCCATGATGTTGAAGCGCTTATACAGATGATTGAGCTTGCCATGGATGTTCTAAGTTCATCAAAATTCCGTGGCCCGAAGTGTTGACTCTATTTTTGTACATAGGCTCTGGTCCTATAAAGAATACAATAGTGTTTTGGGAAGAAGATGAACCCAGAAGCATGGATCTAGATTCCTTTGGTTTCATGAACTTCCATAGATAAGTCTTCTTGATTTAGCGTAGTTTTCAAGGCTGATTATCCTTGAATAGGTTAGGAAAGGAAGACCTGCAGAGAGGACACTAGATAAGGACACAATAGCTAAGTTTGCAGTAGTTTTCGGAGTCCTGTTTCAGGTCTTTCTTCTTTTTGTTCTCTGGGTACTCGAGATTAACTAAAGAATATTTTATAGAAGAATAGTAGGATTCTTAACCATTTAAAAGATTGGGTAGTGATAAGAGTTGTGACAAGACACTGCTCTTTTCCATCTAATCCTGTGTCAGTTTGTGTTCAAACTATTATTGGAATTGAAATTTTTTGCGGTGATTTATCAGAGATGATCATGTGCAGCATAATCCCCTTCTATTCAGGTATGTATCCCTCTGTTTTGTCATCTTATAGTGCTGAGTACTTTGCACTGAGCAAATGATCAGCATAAGTTATTCTTTTCGAACACGTATGATTGATTATCATGTTACACCAGTTCTTTAGTTTTTAATTTGACACCGTACACAAAGCCTTGTGTCTGCCGAAAATTTTGCTATCCGACATCATCAATGGATTTGTGTTTATAGCTTACACCATTTCTGTTCTCCGTCATAAACTTATGGCATTTTTCGATTTTGCTTTCTTGATCATTGTCCGATATTTATGTCAGCATAGGTGCCACTTAGTTCTAAACATTCATACTGCAGCTGAATGTTTTTTGGTGCACCAAATTTATGTTTCATATGAACATTTTTGCGAAATTTGTATTGAATCCGACAAAGTAATAGGTGGGAATTTTGAGGTGTATGCATATAACTTTCGTACTTCTGCTGTCTTCCTTTTCATCTGAAAGAAGAGAAGAGTCCGAATGTTATATTTCATTAAGTCTCCTGTTATTGCTCTCTTCGGTTGCATATGGACTCGAGCAAATATGGAGTCGAGCAAGATGCTCTTCTGCATTTATATTCCTTTTGAGGATTTTGTGGATGTTCTCTTATCCATTTTGCCCTTCGGAAACGCTGCAATTCGGTAGACAGTATAAACACTTCTTCTGGCCTTATGTGTAAACAGGCTTATCGTCTAGTTTACCTTCGGTTTGGGCTGTGTTCTTTGCTAATTCCTGGCTCAGTTCAAACCAAGTCGCAATGGCTAGGTTGCCGGGTAAAGCTTAATGCAGTTTTTACCTTCTGAGAAACTTTTTGTGTGTGTGCGTTAAGGTTAAAATCTAATCAAAGTTGTTGTATCTAACCATAACTATTTCATTTTTCATAATAAAAGTTTAGAATATTTTATTTCTCTTTAAAAAATTAAGCTATTTTATTTCTTGCAAGCGATCTCGTTTAAACCTTTTGCATCAAAGCTTTCACTCTTGAATCTGTACCTATAAATGATC